AAGGAAATGAGATAGATATGCATCATGGGATACTGCTGAGCCTAAAAAATGAAACCATTTCATTTGCAAGGACATGAATGGAACTTGAAAGTCATTATGTTAAGTGAAATAAACCAGGCACGAAAAAGACAAATACTGAATATTCACACTCATGTTTGAGGGCTAAAAAATTGATCTCACAGAAGCAGAGAATAAAATGATAGCGGCTGGGAAGGGCATGTGGGTGGTGGGGGGACAAAGAGAAGTTGGTTAATGGGTACAAACATTCAGTGGGATAGAAGTAATAAGTTCCAGTGCTTGAAAGTGCATAGGGTGACTATAGTTAGCAACTACATATTGTATATTTTAAAATAACCAGAAGAAAGGGCTTAAAATGTTCCCAACACATAGAAATGATAAATACTTGAGGTGATGGGCGCCCTAAAATACCTTGACTTAATTATCAGATAATCTGGTCATGTTACAAAATTCCATACGCATCCCATAAAAATGTACAAATATTATGTATCAATAGAAATAAAATAAAACAAATGAGAAAGAGAGTCCTAAAGGGGGAAGTGGACTGGATAGAAAGCAAATGCTAGCCGGGCTCGGTGGCTCAGCCTGTAATCCCACGCCTTTGGGAGGCTGAGGTGAGTGGATTGCCTGAGCCCGCGGGTTCAAGACCCGCCTGGGCAGCGAGACCTCATCTCTACAATAAATCAAAAAATCAGCCGGGCATGGTAGCGCGCGCCTGTAATTCCGGCTACTCGGAAGGCTGAGGTGGAAGGATCACCGGAACCCAGCAGGCGAGGCTGCGGTGGCTGGAAGCGGCCACTGCACTCCAGTCTGGGCGACAGAGTGAGATTCCAACTCAAAAAAAAAAAAAAAAAAAAAAAGAAAGCAAATGCTGTCTGGGACAATGACTTACCAAAGACCATACACATTCCATTGAAATCAGCTTGCAAAGTGTGGACAGACAACGTCTCCAGCATCCAACTCAATGTTCTAAACAAATATGTTTAATAAATACTCAATTGACTAATTGAAACTCCATTGCATCACCCAATAGCTGTTAGATTGGGTATTTCTCTCACTAGATTGTTATGTGTCTTGTTCATCTCTGTAATCCTAGGACCTTAACGCATTGCCTGGCCCATAGGGGGTGCTCCATAAACAACTGTGGAGTTCATCAATTAGCTTAGGCAACATGTATTTTCACTTGCAAGCAGGATTCTTTTAATGATGAAAATGGCTTCTCCCTAGTCTGGTATTGCTGTTCTCAGTACTTAACAGAAGATTTTTTGAAGCCACATCGCTGACTACAAGTCGTGACAGCCCCGCAGAGAACGATCCCTCCCAGTTGCACCCTCTGCACCTAGTTAGAGGCCCAGCCCCTTCTGGGTGCCTCATTATCCTGAGGCTGGCACTCATACCTCCATTGCTGCTTCTTCCCTCCTCTTCCTGCTGCTTCTGAAATAAAGGTCCTGCAGCTCTGGCTTCACTGTGACACTCACTACTCTGGTATTGATGGCCATCCACCTTCCTGTTATTCTGTGTAGACTAGAAAGCAAAGACCTTTCTTGGGTAAGGGAATGGGTTTTTTCAGTATTCAGTGTGTAACAGCAGAAAG